AATCAGCATTTTAGATCTGGAAGAATACATCAATAGTAGCGAGCGCTCACACAACTGTTAAGTTTGCTAAACACAGCCATTGGTGTATTCTTTTAGCTCATCCAATCAAAATTTTAGATCTAGAAGAATACATCAATAGCAGCGAGCGCTTACTCAACTGTTATGTCTGCTGAATGCGCCCTTTTGATCAATCATTGGGTGCATTCAATCGCTCAGTGAGCGGTCGTAGTACTGAATGCACCCATTGGAGTTGTTGGTTAGCAGCTTCGTTTTGATTGATAAAAAACGCAAACGCGAATGCAGATACAACAGGGCCCGTCTACAATACACGGAGTAAGAAGTAAGAGTAAGAAATTGATTAATCACAGTCGATTATTCTTCTCACATTCGACTGTGATTGGTCAATTTCTTACTCTTACTTCTTACTCCGTGTATTGTAGACGGGCCTCTATGTAATGGCACCTTAATGCTCCCACGTAAGGATGATACTTTATAATGCTTTTAGGAACGCATGGTAACACCGATAACGCCGGTAACGCCATCACCGTCTATGACAGCGTCTGTGAAAATTTAAATGTGATATCGCTTGCTACAGAAACGCAACGTACTTTTCCGTTTATCCGGAGTAATTTCTATCGATAGTAATTTCCAATCGCAAGATCGCAAGTTGAGGTGAGGTGTTGAGCGGTAGGTGAGGTACGGAATTGAGATAAGCGTTTAATATTTCAACGTAAGATGTTGTTCGAGTGTTTCTCGTATATTTCTGTCAAGTTCAATGCCTTCTCACGACGAGCGTACGTTGCAAGCTCTGCAGAAGATTCACGATGAACTGCAACGTTATTATATTCTCTTGCGGTTGATCAGGGCCGATCTCGAGAAAATAGCGAAGAATTTTGCCGCCTTATCGGTGGGTATAGATACTGCCAAGTAATATCTATTGTTGAGTACACTCAATTGACATAACCTGGCTGCGTTCGCTTTTTCTGCTCACAGCGCTTGTGAGTATCAATTGTTCTTGTTTAATACTAAACAATAAGGATGAAACGATGCTTAAAGTTGTGAATGCCAAAGCGAACACAGCTCCTGTCAACTACTTTTTAGAAACGAGGATTTTGTTGTGACTAGAATGATTTTTTTCAAGCTTTAGAATAATACTGTTTACAAGAATTCTATTGCACTTTCTACGTCAATCTTTGTGCACTAATCTAATAATAAAGTGACTTGTTTAGAACTTTAAAAGCGGAATGTAACCTTTTCAATCAATACAAACTATTTGTTTAATGATTCCAGTTTGATCGCAGATCTTTAACAAACTTAAAAGTAACTCATTTATCTAAAATTGTTTATGTTATAACTATATATATAATTACAGTTCTTCCTAATATCCTTCCCAAGTTTGTCTTAATAAATTCATTGGAGTAGTCAGATTTATAAATTTATTCAACGATATTCTTCCACATACTTATTTCAGATAAACTCATTAATTATTATTCTTAAAATTCTTGAAGACAATTTTTATTAAAGAATAACAATTCCCAAATCTTTAGATTAAATTGCTTATACAAGCAGTTTGTGATATAATTTATAATGCTTTATACTTTTCTGTGATTACAATTTTCATTGAGAATGATTGAAAAGTGGTATAGAATCTATATTGCGAATGAAATATGCAATATCATTGTATAAGTGATTTACTTCTCTTATATCGTAGAAAATTATTGTGCTAATTGAAGCAATGTATGCTTATTTGTTTCAGGAGGCTGAGAGTATTTAAGGACAAGTGTAAACTATAGCAGTGTGTATATATATATATATATATATATATAAATAAAAGTTATAAAATTTTTTTTGATAAAATGGATTCTCGCAAATCTATAATACACAAGAGATTGGAATCTATACAAAGTTCACCAAATTCTTCGTCACCGTTGCGAAGGAAGTCCATTGTTCAAATCCCATCAGCACATAACTTATCAGAAAACGACGATGAGGCTGAACGTATTGCTCGTCGACGTGAGATATTTACATCACCGTCTAATGGAAGTAGTAGTAGCAAAAGATTATCTCTGGGCCTGAGATTGTTGGCGAATATTCCAGAACCCCAAATGGCCGAGAGCATGAATAAATGCATACAACTGAATGCTGAGAACAAGATTAATATCAAGAACGCATTTAGTTTGGAGATGATCGACTTTATGACGTATATGATAAAGAAGCAGGATGCCAATATGTCGAATTTACTAATGGCTAGCACCTCCTTGGATGTGAGCACCAAGATCTATGGATATCGTGTGGACAATGTACATATGGAAATACTCAAAATGGTTGGTGGACTGGATAAAAAGGTAATGGTAGATATGGAGCAAAATTCGGAGGAGCAGGAAGAAACGGTGCAGGAATGCGCGGAAAACGTCGAGATGCGGAAAAAAAAGAAGAAATCGAAACCAAAGATCTTCAGCACTGTGGAGGCTCTGAGAGGCAACATCGAGATCGCAAAACCTATGTCGGCGATGATAGACGAAGGAGATCTACAGACCAGCGATATGTTGTACCAAGCAACGTTGCCGAACCACGCGAATTCCGGTTTTTATCAGCATCCATATAACGACGTGCTCGTCGATGTCGTGGAGAATAAACCTGAATCGCAAAATAATTCAAACGTAAAGTATGTCATACCAGCGATCGAAGATTTCTCGAATTTGGAGATTTGTGCGTCATATTCAAACTTTGAGTTTCTCGGTTGGTCCGTAGAGAATGAACCGGAAGAGGAAATCGAATCTCCCGATGACAGTGAGAACCGATTTCAATTTGATTTGAACGCAAGCGTGGAGCATGATGATGATCCGGTGCCCGAGCCCATGAACTACTTCGACATCGAACATAATGACAACGAGAATGTTCAGGCATGTTTTCGGCAAACGATGGATCGTCCAGTGAATGTCGTGGAAGTGCACAACGCCCGGACATCCGAGTACTCCTTTGTTCAACCAAGCATGAGCCTGCATTGGGCTGGTCCGTCCCATTGGAAGTTTTGGAATTTCATGAAATTTTCCGCTGTCGACAGAGGTAGTACAAAAGTAGCTTGCATGCAAGCTAAGAAAAAAGAAAAGAGAAAACAATTTGAACTGCTATATGACGAGACATCACGCGATATCATAGATGCAAAGTTTGTGTCGGGCCAGTACATTAAATTACATGCCAAAACCGCGAAAGCGGAATGGAGCGCCGAAAATTTGACCCTGCCGGAGGATGTGCATTATGATGTTGCGCAGGCGAGCAAGCTCTATATGTACAAGAGATTAACTATAAAGTCGGAAAATAATGAGAAAGAGAACGGGAATGCGGTGAATGTCGCTGACGTATCCGACGGTGAGAGATACGACTATAACAATCCAAACGACACGCTGGAATACTGTCCCAATGTTGAACACAATGAAGATTATGATGATTATGAGAGGGAGGATGGTAACGATGATTGTAACTTTGACGAAAACGCCATAATTGTAATGGATAGTCAGGGTCTTATTGGCGACAATCTAGTTACCGCGCCAAAATTGGTTAATAAAATATCCATCGCGTATTGTTTGAAAGCGAAGAAAATCGACATGCGACAATTAAAGAAATCCATATGGACTTGTTTGAAGTCCACGAATAATAATGCGGCAAATACTGGAGAAACAGTGGATGTGACCGATAGGATGAAGGAGAGCAAGCAATTCAGTGACGTTTACAAGGCACTGCCGAAATTGTTGACGAAAAGCAACGCCGAGGCATTGAGCGTACCGATCTCTTTTATATCTATGCTGCATTTGGCGAACGAGAAAGAATTGAAGATTTGTTCGGTACCAGACATGTCTGATATTATCATTCAGCCTGGATCGCCATCGTCGAAATGACAAGATTTTCTTTTGTGTGTATATGTTCAAATAGACAGAACGTAAAACAACAAACAGAACAGAGTGTAATAAAATTTGCATTTTGCAAGTTATACTAGTCGTTACTAGAGACCCTATTACAAAATCTCATTCTACTGTTTCATTCTATAACTTTTATTATAAAGTGAGACGGTATATAAGTTAGAGTGAGATAATATATGTGCACACAGGAAAAAAGTATACACATATGTGCCTTTTTCTCGTAGGCTTTTGACGAAATCGCTCGTATCTAAACTCTGTTATAAAGTCTCTAATCGTTACGACATATTTATGCAACGTAATTCTGGAAGAATATTTTAATCAGAAATAAGGATAATATTTACTTTTACAATCGTTGTTACGGTCAAATGAGTTGACAATTTTTTATTTACGAAATCTCGACAATAATAATTGTATTAAAAATTAAATGAATCTCTAATTCGGTTAGATTATAACCAATATTTATGTTATACAAACGTGGCATTTATCTGTCTACTTGAATCGCACGAGGATGTTTTCTAACAAATTTTTCAAACTTGCGTCCGTTAATGATAATCAATTTTTTGTTAGAATCAATTGCTTAAAAATATTACCTAAAATTTTTGTATAAAATGGATAGTTATCGGAAGTTGCGAAAGTGTTGCGAAAGTGTTTACGATGTTTTGAAATGTTTGTATTTATAACATGATACCCAGTATTTTATTTTTTTAAATTCACGTTATCCATTGACAATCGATCTGGTCGTGTCAAACGTAGAATTTTTATATAAGAAATTATAAGGGGCTACGTACAATTAAAGGAATAAGGAATAGGGAATAACCGATTTTAATCTACTAGAAATTATATATTCTGGTGTAACCGATTTCTGGTAAGTTGAAATCTGTTTATTTCCTATTCCCATTCTGTAATCTTTTGTGCGCAGTACGAACCTAAATGAATAGTTACATTGGAGAATGTTGCAAGAATGTTTAAAAAATGTTTGTATTTGTAACATGATGCAATACGATATATGTTCATAGGTATATATTTTTGTCATACGAGAATAAAGTATTTTTTTATATTAATAAAAAAAACGCATCTCTCTCTCACTTTTATTACTCGCTTTAATTAAGTTGCAGGGGTATCAATCTGTTTCTTCATGTATGTACACCCAAGGACTTCGATTCTTTCCCTCGGAAATTTTCACAAACTGGAAAATGTACAAGGTACAAGCTTCACATGCATTTCATGTATCGCAAATCACTTGTTTGTCTCGCATAAATCCATCGTGAGTCGCACGACCACTTCCGACAATATTCTTGTTTTCGGATTCATTCTCAAAATCGTGAAACATGTACTTATAAATCGTACTGCTTTTTCCATAGCCATAAAAACGTTAAAAATCATTTAATGATGACTGCGCTATCGAAATTGTTTCTTGATTTATCACGGCGATATGGACGTCATTCTGTTTTCTTGAATCGCAAATTTTCGAAAAACCCTCCGACTGACTATCGAAAAGTCCAAAAGATCGAGGGGAAAAGTGTAAAAAAATTGACGAGGAAAGAAAAAGATAAAAATGGGCAAAAAGACAACGAGGCTTATATCAGAGTATGCATCATCGGCGGGGGAGTAACACCTCTTTACACCGCGATTCTTTTGAAGCAATATAAGATTATCAAAAGCATACGTCTGGTGGATACAAGGGGTTCCTCATCAGAGGCTTTGACAGATGTGTCACAACTGGAAACCAGCCCTCGTATAGATTACTTTCGAGAAAAGGATATAAAGCAAGCTCTCAGAGAAGTAAGAGTTTCGAGAAATACACATTACACAGAAAATTTTTTGTGTCCGTTGAAATGAAATAAAATGATGAAAGAAGAGAAATATCAAGATCTAATTTGATGATCGAAAAGAAATTGAAAATTTTGCTTTGTTAATTATATATACAGAGTGTTTTAAAATTCGTGCATCAAAATATCACAGCGAAAAAATTTTTGAAAAAATAAGTGACAGAAGTATTTTGCCATTTTTTATTTTGAGCAATTTTTAAGAGATATAACAATTAAAAATTGCAGGTTAAATATAGATTATGGTTAAATGACCGTTTAACCGTAATCTATAATTGACTAGTTTTTAATTTGTATGTCACAAAAACTATTGATCGAAATTAAAAATAATAAATGATAAGTTTTTTTAACTTATCTTTTTTTCTTGCTGTGATATTTTTGGATTTGCTGTGATATTTTTAGATTGCGAAATATATATATATATATATATAAATTGTAATCAAGCATTGTTTGATTTTAGAAAAAATTGTTTTTATCTATTTTTTAAGAATAATTGTATATATTATAGTTGTACGAGAATTGAATTAAAGTTAATCTATATTGGTAGAAATGGGTATTAAGCCTTTATCAGATTACACGAGGGATGTGTGTTTTGCGACATGTGTAAATTCACAGATTAAAGCATTAATTATTTGGATGTATGTGCATACACATCGGCTGTGTTCAGCAGAAAAAAAACCAGCTTTGCAACTGTGTAAAATTCTTTGATGTGATTGGTCTTACGAGGAGAAAAATAAGTGTATTCCAACATGTAAGTATGTACATACATTCAGGTGTTAACACACAAAAAAGTCTGTAATCAAAAAGTCTGTGGATGTTAAAAGACATTAACAATCTCAATACATCATAAATACATGTACAGTATAATTATCGAAAAAAATATTGAAAAAAATGTTTAGGCGAACATTGTTGCGCTCATGGACGAGACTGACGTCAACGACGCGGTAGGTAACACGATGGCCCAGGAGCAATTCAAATTGACGGCGAATTATGTGCGTCAGATGACGGACCGGATACTGCGCTTCTGTCCGGACGCCCTCGTGGCCGTGTTCGCGCGCCCTGTCACCGCTACGCTCGCGATGGTCTCCGAGATCTTCCGGTATTCCGGCTGGTGGAATCCCGACCGGATCGTCGGCTCGATCGCGACGTACGGTGGACGGATCGAAAAGATGACGGCGGCAATCCTCAACCTGGAGCGTGCGAGTCTCTCGGTACCGCTGGCCGGCGGCGCCGACGCGCAAACCGTCGTGCCGTTACTCTCGCGCGCTCTTCCCTTCAATCAATTCACAAACGTACGAATCAGTTACGACATTTGTTTTTCTAATCTCTCTAATATATAGTTTTTTTTTCTTTTTTAATTTGAACACACTCTAAACTGTCATTATAAGTTATTTTTAAGCAATCGTAATGTGCTTTTGACACACAAATGTTAAAAAATTGATTTAATATCTCTGTAAATTTATTAAAAATTATTTAATTCAATTTGATTCAATACTTCATAAATGTTATACTATAATAATATTTAGTTCTTTAAAGGGAATAAAAAATTGCTCCCCCTAAGCCCCAAGTGAAGAGAGAAAAAATATATATTTTTTTTTTTAAAGCAGGGGACAGTAATTTCGTCTACAATTGTTTCTCTGTTTTATTTGACAAGTAGAAAAAAACTATTTCATCGACCTAAATAAAATAGTTACATATTTATCTGCAGGAAAAAAATTATAATTCTACTAATTCTCTGAAAATAAAAAACAAATTATGTACTAAGAATCGAGATCTTTATAGCACAGATATTGAACGGGCAAAGGTGAAATACGCATCACATATCTATTGTAAATATCTTTTGGATTCTTAATGTTATTTATACCTTAATTAATATAATTAACGATATTTATACAACCGCAATTGCTCAAGTCTTACTTGTTAATTAAGTTATATAATTTACGTCTCTCTAAGTATAATAATTAATTCTGTCATAACTATATCAGACACAACGCAAGACCCTGCTGCAATCGTTTCGGGCCGGTGACGAGGAGACAAGAACAACGTTCGATGAAGGTCCATCGTTATCGTCTGGAACGGCTGCTGCCAAGTTGATAATCAACCTCGCTGCCGGTCTATCCGGGCACAACCACGTCATCACCTGCGCCTACGTACGGTCGAACGTACTACCGGTCTGTCGATTTTTCACCAGCGAGCTGGAGCTGGGCCCGGAAGGTGTCAAGCGAAATTTTGGCTTGCCGAAAATCTCAGCTGCGGAGGTGCTCTTGATCGAGCAAGCGATACCTCTCATTAACGAGCACGTCGACATGGCGGTTGCTGCAGTCCGGACGGAGAGAACGCGCACTAGGACGCGATGACGGATTCGGGACTGTATTTCAGAAAATCTTGTCTTTGGCAGAATTGAAATCTTGTACGAGTATCTCGAGGTGTTTACTTCCTCGAGTTTTATTGCTGTATTCAACTTCATATCATGCGCTTCGTCCCGCATAAGTTGTAACTTTATTGCTTATTATTAAAGGATAAATGTAGCTTATATTATCAAGCGAATAAAAACAATTAGTTGATGTAACAATCGCGATATTAAGAGGTCGAGAGCAAAGATGTTTTTGGGCCTTGCGTCGTTATGACGAACGTTTAAAAGCGAATTTTTTAAGTGAATATTTAAAAAAGACTTAAAGAGATGCTTACAAGAGGTGATACCAACTAATATATAACATTAATGCTATAATTTGGATTCAATAATGTAACTGTTATGTAACACTCTTGTTCTATATTATTCTTTAAATTCTATAGAGTGAAATCTTACTCTAACGAGTGAAAATTGAGTGAATTTAGAACAAAGAATGGTTTAATTTTCAATCTTTAAGAGTACGATTTTATACTACAGAGTGTAATTCACTCTGAAAGTTTTGGAGAATACATTTATATTGTTTAGTGCAAAATGACAATATTGATGTTATGTGTTACTTTTAGTTGGTGTCGATTGGGGGAATCCACACACACACACACACACACACAGATACAATAATTCTTTTTTTTTTCCTTTTTTTTTAGAGCTTCCATTCTCTCGACGCGGCGACGTCATTTCTATGATATTTGATGCTATGTATCCTGGTCCGTGATTGCAATCATCTCTGCGAATTTGGCGCGTTCCGAAACTTATCTCGCAGGGAAGTTTTATTCGCAGTATCCAGCTATGTGTCACAATCCTTGAGTGCGTTCAAGAATTAGGTCGAGATAACTCTGGGTATGCACTTTTGATATAGTATACGTGACATAAACTGTACCCTAGAATTATATCTGGATGTAATTCCTGAACGCACTCCTTCGGTAGCGTTTGCGCGTACAGCTCACTGCGCATATAAACTGCAATCTGCAATTGCAATGTGATCTTTTGTTTTGATAATAAGATGATTCATGTCAATAATAAGTATGATTCAAGGATTCCAAGGTGCTTTTTCGACTGATCCGTGAAAGTTTCTACCATAAGTCATATTAATATAAAACGTAATTCATAAAGGGAGAAAAAGTGGTGATTCGGCGAAATACTAGCTGAATACATTCTTTCTGGCAGTTAATCGCAGCAATCGCAGCTCATGATCGCAGTTGGTCCAAGTTGGTCCAAGTTGGTCGCAGTCAGCTTAGTGGTATGTTGTGCGCGAGTGCACATTTATCTACCCTTCTCCACCCTTCTCCACGGTGTGAAAACTGGAAACGGCGCGGGTATTTAGCTGACGAGCGGGGAATGGGGATCGGCGGACTGACAGTCACTGTCAGTTCTGGTTCTGGTACTTCTGGCTGGTCACTGGTCAGTCAGGTCAGTCTTCGCAGTTAGTTACGTTACGCGCAGCTGTTTTACTGTCGTCAATCGTCACGTTGTACTTACGTTGTCAGTCGTTCGTGACAATTCGTGAGTAATCGTGAATGTTTCTGCGAGATGTACCGTTAAACCAGGAACAAAATACGCGCATTTCTATTCTTTTTATGCAAGCGGAATCGCACGGCATTTATTGCGCGCGTGAATTGTACAGAAGTGTTTATTGTTTGAGCGCGAGGGACCAGGCTTATGATTCTGTGAGGGACCAAGCTTAATAGGTATCTCTCGACCGATTCAAACGGCTTGAATTATCCGAAGAGATTTACTGCAATAGCAATCATGTGGAAACCCTTCGAGCATGGCAGTTCGCCCGTAGATTGGTGTGAGCGCAACTACAACATCTCTCCCAGCATCGCCGAGTTTATGAACACGGTTCGTATTGCGCGTTTATGCGCGTATATGGACCTTTCTTTGTTCGATCAATTTGAAAACGGTTCTACCTGGACGAGAAAGTCCAAGTATGCTTTTTAAGTCACGAGAATCGCAATTTGATGAAATTTTAATTATGTGATTGACCCGAAAGTAAAGAGCTTTCCTAGAGACTGAGGAATAATTTATCTCGAAGATATTTAATATTGAAAACTATATAAATTTAAATAATGAGTTTCCAAGTGTTTTGCATGAGGGAAACAGTTTGACAGATAGTTTTTTTGCACAAAACAAATTCTACACTTGTAAAATGTCAAATAATTCATAGTATAGGTAAAAGTGTCATATTAAATTAAACATAATGCTTGTGATAAGGAAATCCATACTACATAAGCAAGATAAAAGATATACAGCTTTTATGGCTATTTTTTTTATAAATTTTAAATAGAAATTTATTTTTTCTACATAAAAATTAAACCACGAGAATTGAGATCCGATTGAATTATAATTAAGAATTATGAAATGATAACTTTTTCTTCGAGATAAAGGTACAAGTGGATAATAAAATCTTAATGTCCAATATTTTCTAAATTAGTCATAAAGATACTTAATATTCAGAGTTACATCGACTCAAGTATATAAATAATTTCCAGTTTTTTGTCAAGACAGATAATTTTTTGCTCGAGGCAGGTTCTAAATATGTCGACAATTTTACAGGTCAAAGTTGTTTAGATCTGAGACAAGAGCTTGTCATGTAATTGTAAATAATGAAATAATATTATTAAATAGAACAAAGGATATATACTAGAAAGATAATAACATAACAGTACGTTTATACCTACACAAAGACAAAGGAAACATATAATTAATTTGTATATCTTGACTCATTATTTCTTATCTCCAATAACTCTGATATATGATGAGCCTTCTTCAGCTAGAGATTTTATCGCTCTAGTATAAACGGAAGTTGTTTGTTATTGAAAACAGTTTTATCTGGAACTAAATTTCATATTTTAGAACAATGGAACATGATATTATATTTCTGTTAAATATAGTTTATGCAAATATATACAAGATCATTTTTTGCACAGAACCATTAAATCTTGATGAATTACATTGGAAAAATAAATATGATACAAATATAGAAAGGGAGTAGTATATTTTTCATTGTTTAATTAGCTACTGTTTTTATTTTCTAGTTGAGCAATGTGGTCTTCGTGTTGCTTCCACCCGTGCTCATGCACCTATTTAGAGACTATGCACGCTTTGTGAATCCAGGAATTCATGTGTTCTGGTTTTTACTGATGATAGTCGGACTTACTAGCGCATATTTTCATGCTACTTTGTCCTTGATAGGTGAGAATTCCAAGTATCAATATTTACTACTTAACAACTCACAACAAAAGGAATGCTATTTAAAAGTCGAGATGTATGTATTTGCTTAATTGATGAAATTGATATTTATGTTGCGTTTAGCTAATCTTGTGCATATATGCGATAGGTCAACTATTAGATGAATTATCTATTTTGTGGGTGTATATGGCAGGCTTCTGTATGTTCTTTCCCAGAAGATATTTCCCCAATGTCGTACATAATGACAGAAAGCTCTTCTCTATATGCGCAACGTTGCCCACTTTAATCGCCACCGGCTTGGCCTTAATACATCCGGCTGTAAATGCTTTCGCATTGATGAGCCTGGGTGTACCGGCGATTGGATTCTTGATCATGGAACTGAAGAGGTAATTTCTTCGTACAGACATATCCAATATAGAGTATTACGCGAATTTGAAACGAGAAACTCCAATAATGATTAATATGACGGAAACATAAGAATATATTCGATGTAAAAGTCGCACAGAATAACATTGTAACGGTGTCTTAAAAAATTTGAAGGACTACCTCGGTAAGAGTGTACAGACTAGGGTTGCGATGCGGCGTCATGTGGATACTAGCGGTGGTCTGTTGGCTAAACGATCGTCTGTTCTGCGATACCTGGCTGAATCTAAACTTCCCATATCTCCATGCATTGTGGCATTTGTTTATTTTCATTGCAAGTTACACTGCGGCGGTGCTCTTTGCGTACTTCGCCGTGCAAGATGAGAAGCCACAGCAGTCTCCAGTGCTCAAGTATTGGCCCAGGGACAACTTTGAACTCGGTATACCGTACGTGACTATACGAAGTTATATCAAGTCGAGTTACAATATGAATATATAGCTCTTATAATTTCGAGAGCACTAATACTGTAATGCATTATTATTTATTACGCGATAGTATACTTGGTACAACTATAGCAATATTTAGCGTTTAAATGCGCAAATGTTTGACGTGATGTCCCGTGATTTATGTAAACATTAATTTTATCATATTTTATGTCGTATCTTGTTTTAAAGAATTGATTATAAAATGTCTTTAAGAAAAATTAAATTTTATATTGTAAGAAAAAATATGAAAATGTGATATAAAGAAATCTCTACATAAGTGGCACAGTATATATTTATGATTTAGCGATAATTTCAGAAGTCATTATAAATAAGCATATGTAATACTTGATTCGAAACATTGATTTATTACTATTATATGTCTTTTGAATTATTGTTTTAAAGATTATACGTTTTATTTATTTAACATTTAAAATAACTGGAAATATCAATGACTAATAAGCGAATTACATGTCCCATAGTAGCCTAATATCTCTACAATTAGCTTTTCTCCTAGTTATATTAGTTAGTAAAGTGTTTTCCATAAAAATCTGGAATTGACCTTATAAAAAGGTATATACAGCTTTATAACATACGAACATTTTCGTTACGTTGTTATAAATGATGTAATAAGTTCTGTACATAATTAAAAGTAGCGTATATGAAAATGATTAATTCCTCGTGCGAAGAGATTATAAAATCGTAGATATTTATGATTACATATATGTATACATTAGCGAATTAGAAATTATTTATGGAATGGTTATATTGTGATATGTACTCTTGTTAACTTTTTTACAAAGGACTATTTTATAAATGTGCTATAATACACAAATCGTCACTAAGAATACGCATGCGTGTGTATTTTATATTTTTTAAGTATCCGACAAACATGTAAAGATATAACATAGATACATATTAATTAATAGTGTCCTATTAGTTACATTCTAATTAGATCTCAAAATTCTAACAATCATCTTAGATGTGAGACCACATATGTGTGTGCAATAAAGAAAACATATTACGGTGAAGCATTTAATTTTTTGCGGTATTGTAGACTGTAATTACAATTAATTGCTACAACTACTCTGTTTTATTTAAAGAAATTACGATGAAACTGGAATGTTGAATTTTATATATTATCCGTATAACGCATAATTTACATA